TTGAAATGCATAGACTGAATGGGAACATACCTGTGGAATGTTTTTTAACACGAATTTACCAACTGTACTTACAACACCTGCACCAAAATAGAAAGAACAAACCGAGACTGAGTTAGACATGATATCACGCACAGATAAAGATGTTTAGCCTTCTCAGGATATATAATGAATTGCGTATATAGGGCTACAAATGTTGATGTAAATCAAGAAATTTTAGCACCGGCCAGTGGAGAATCCGAACTTATGCCTTCTCAAGAAAGCTTCTTTCTATTTCAAGGTATTATTGAAAACCCGTGTAACCACGCTAGTTTAAGATACTTGCAAGTATTTTGTTGAAACCTTAGTACATATCAAACAGATTGAAAGAAAATGATCTTTTCACTATCAGCATAAAAGCCAACTTTTTATTTGGCTCCCAAAACAAGTGATTCCCCAATAGAAGCAAAACTCCAAACATGCAACCAAAAGTTAATGGATAACTTGTTATCGAGGTATTAAGTCAAATCGTATAAATATACCTTCGAAAACACCCAAGTTACCTTCAAAAACACCAAGGTTACGGAAAAGATTGGTTGTGATTGCTCCAGGATGAAGTGAATTTGCAGTTATTTCTTCTCCATCTTCCTGTTCAAGGATGACATTCAACTTTCACATGTTCAAAATGTAGTGATGATAGAGGCAGCACAGATTGTCACTTCCAAAATATGAAATAACTCTTTTAAAGAGGAATTTAAAGTATGTTTGGGAAGTGCTTATAAACGGCTTCAATTATAAATATATAAAAATGAGCGGTGGATAGTGTGTGGATAAAAAGTGATTTAAGTGTGTGTAAACTGTTCATCAACATGAGCCAAACATAGGCTTATATGCAAAAGTGATTTCAATGACCAGCTTCAAAATGAGATTGGATGTGTGTTTGTGTGTGTATCTTTTCGTTTCTGTTTTCTTTCTTTTTTAGGGTCGGGGAAGGGGAAAGAGGGAAGAGGGATATACCTCTGAGATAAAACCAATATAAGAAATTTATATGCTTACTTTACCAACCCAAAAACAACATGGGATCTCCTCAATTTTATAAGGTTAGACTTCATGGTATTTAAATGGGATCGACGAAAAAAATTAAGGATCTTTCGTATGCCATCTAATACTTTTAACCTCAAAGAGAATTCAAATGAAGTAAGATGACGTAAATTTTCACCAAATGGGTAAATAATAGTCTCCCAAATCCAGAACTGAAGTCCTATTAGAGGAGTACTTATACTATTAACCGAAAGCAGAGCTCATAGAGAATGAGTTACATTTAACAGCATCAGCTATCTAACCTAGTCACCCCAAGAAGGGTATTGAGTTTAAGTTCATTACAATTATAAATGAAGTTTCTCGTTATAATTCATAAAATTCCCAATCATTTCTTAATAAAATCATAGGATGAACGATGAAACTTGTTCAGAAGTGCACATCGAATTAAGTACCTTTAATCGTCTTGTCAGCTCATTAGCATGGAGTATATTAGCAAGTTTTGACTGGCCATACGCAGCCCACGTGTTGTACCTGCACGTAGACAATATCTTCTTTCTTGAATACATAACATGATCCGAGAGTTGAATACAAATCTCCATAGTCGAGTAGTTAATATTGCTATTATAGTGGGTGAAGCCATATGCAGAGTCACAAAAATGGGCAGAGGAAAAAGTTACGAACAAGATCGCAAACGAAATTTCACAACAATCAGAAAATAGAGTCAAGTACCCTTCTTTATCATTGAGCCTATCAAAACGAATCCCTTCATTATACACAAAGCGGTGTGCCTCTGATGAAACATTCACAATTCTTCCCTCTCTCTTCATCTTACGAGCTGTTTTTTTCATGGTTTCTATTAACAAATGTGTCAAAAGAAAATGACCTGTAAATCAGAAAGAGAAGTGAATTCCAGGACAACGAAAATTAAGCAAACCAAGATTCATTCAATTTTAGTTTCATGCTTGACGCACTTGAACTCCAAATTATATGAAATTTAAGATGATCTGAAATGATTACTCTTAAATATTTTTATTTTTATTTTTTGCCAAAAATGTTTGCTCTTCTAAAAGTGAGTCATTACTTTTCTTTCAAAAAAAGTACTTTTCCTACTGTTTTAGGCTTAACCTATTTCGTCTCCACGGTATTTTGTAATGTCACACATTTAGATAGTCAGATGCATTCGAGAAAGAGCCAAATACCCAAGTGATTTGTAGCGAACTGCAGCTCGACGTTGTCTTTAGAGAGCTTGAATGGAGTTGCCATTATTCCTGCATTATTACTTCAAAAGAGAAGACAAAATGTACTCTTAAAAATTCGACAGAGTAAAAAACGGGCGAAATACAAATACGTGCACACGACAAAGAATGGCAATGGGTGGAGACGACATCAAATTCATATTTTACGTTCTAGAGCAATTTGGTTTGGATGCCGAACTTAACCCAGCTGCACAAAATATACTAAAATGTGCGCCAATAAGTATAAAGATGTGCTAATGTATCAAAACGTACAAAAATGTACCAAAATGTGCAATCACCAACTTACATTAAAAGGTTCAAAGGACGACCTGAGGAAGTAAAATCGGATGCAAATTTTCGGACAGATGTCAAAGAACTGAGATCTAACTCCATGATATCAACTTTAGCAGCAGGAATTTGCTTAACAATTGCTTCCTTAACTTCTTTTCCAGCAGCCATATTCCTGACACCCATTATCACATTCAAGCCGCGCAATGCAAGAACACGTGCAGTTTCAGAACCAATACCGCTCGACGCCCCTACAATTTAAGTCACCACAAGTAAAGATATATGAAGAAAGATGAAATTTTCATATGCTTCCACAAGAAAATGTTTCCATTTTCCATCACGATTACCAAAGAAATTGTTATGTTTATGACTCAAATCTCATGTAATTTGAAAGTTTGATTCATGGAGGAAGCCGAAGTAATTTTGGTTTGGAAGTCCAGATAGATGAGGGGTCAAATTTTATTATAGATTGAAAGTTTGATTGGGAAAGGGACTTTGTGATGAAGGAAAACAAGGTGGAGAAAAAGTTGGCGCTTTTTCTCTAGCTAGGCGCCGGTTGGCGCTCAAGCATCAAGGGAGAAAAATGGAGCAGGGAGCTGGCGCTCACTTGGCGCCAGTTTGCCCCCCGAGCGGACGCTCGCCTGGTGCTAGGCGAGCGCTCAAGCAGTGGTAACGGGAAGAATTGGACTCCTAGTTGATTTTTGACATGGTTTTTGTGCTTTGCTTCATCCATAACTTCAAGATTTGACTCTTATATACACTTGGTGTAGGCTCAACATAAGATCACTGTTGTATACATTAGAAACTTGAAAGAATTGTTTAAATTTATATTCAGAGTATCAAATCTTGTAAACACAATTTTAATTTCTTGGTACATGAAATTCTCCTCTTCTTTCGCGTAAATCTTGTGTTCTTGTGCAATCCATTATTTTTCATATTACTCATATTTTTCATCTTTAATTATTTGGTTTGGTACTCAACAAATTTAGCAATTATGGTATCCTGGTTGTTTCTAACATAAATGATACAAAGTAAGAACAAGTCATGAAGAATAACAGAACTCAAGATTTCAACAAAATCAAAATTAACAAGATTGGGACCTGTAACAATGGCAGTGAGGCCAGAGCCATCTAATCCATTGGTGACTTCTTCAGCCGTGGAAGAAGAAGAAAACCCAGATGGGCCATTTCTTCTGAACAGCCACATATTCTTGAAATTCTCGCTGTCTCCTACAATGTTTCTCGAAACTGGAATTTTGAGTTTTAACATTCAGAAAAAATGGCCAAGAAAATTATTGAAAAGAACAAAGAAAACGAGATGAGATGGTAGATAAAACGTGGTCCAACGCTAATCGTGTAAATTAAGAATTAACAATAAAGCCAAATGTACATTTATGTGATTTTTGACATCCCTTTATTTTCAAAAAATTGTGAATGAAAAAAGTTTTTTTTTTTAAACTGTATAACAGTTTACTGTCACATGACACAATATAAGTAATAATGTAAAAGTTGATGTACAAATAATATAATTGAAGAATTAATGCCTGTTATATTTGAGATTGTCATAAAAAAGTACTTGTGGTCTATCAAACTCTCTTTTCTTATCTACTCACTAACCACAAGAGTAGATAAGGAAAAAGTAAAAATAAAATAAAAAGGAAAAAAGAAAAATCACGTTTTTAACATTCTGAAAGTAATTTTAATGAACTGCATAGATGAGCATGGGGTAATTTAAGAGAAGACTAACTCAAACTCAAAATCGTTTATCTAACAATACGATTAAGATTCGAACAATCGCTTTGAAAGGAACCTCATAACAACGAACTTCCAAAAGCGTCTTTTGATTTCGAGATATGGGTCATGAATAACTTTTTATTTGTTGTGATCTCAATCAAATTTCCTTGTTCCAATTTGGATTTCCTTTTGTAGTATATACCAACTAGTTAACAGATCCACCACCAGAGCTCCGATCTGTATCTATTTGCATGACGGATAAAAGAATGTCAATCTAAGAATAATCAGGTAACAAGAACATGTTGAACCCAAATAACACTCACAGTTTTGAACAAGTATATCTAATAGTGTAATTCTAGTCATTTTTAGGAGAATCATGGCTATTATTCTCGTACATTTTCAATTTTTAATCGTTTTAAATTTAAAGCTACTTATTAAAACAAATTCCTACACAAAACAAATTTGTATTATTCTGTACGTGTGCTTGCTTATTTACAATAAAATGTAAGAGTTCTGCAAGAAGGATTGACTGATAGGCCGTGCACATTGTCTGTGACAGAGGAATGCAATGAACCTGCTTTACATGTGATGACTAAGCCCCTGCTTTATAATAGTAATGACATGTTTGGTAAAGAAAAAAGTTACTGTTCTCGTATACGGTGTTCTATACAAAACATGCTGTAAAAGGTATTTAGATATACATGTACGGGTATGTGGCAGGGTAAATTTAGGATTGCTGCTGCCATTCCTGAATGGCATTGTAAAGAGCATTATTAGGAAGGAGCTCAGTGTGTTCAAGCTTTAAATTTGTCATTGGTGAAGTCTTGTGCCCACTATTAAACCATCCTCTTATGGCATCTCCTTCATATGTGAAACCATCTGCTGCTATATGTGGATCTTTCATGATTTCCTGCAAATTTTAAAGGAAAGAAGCAAAATGAGAAGGGAAAAAGTTGAACCAAATCACGGTTGACAAGCATTTCAAACTAGTCTTTGCTCTATCAATATCGGATCGAAATACTCAAAGTTTCACAAAAAAAGATGAAGCCCCTAAGGATTTGGACACTTTCACGAATGCAATTAGCAGTCTATTCATCACCCAAGATCATCAAACCATTGCCTCGAGAACATACCAAAATCATCCAATCCTGGTACTAGCATGTTTGGTCGGGAGGATTGGACGATGCCGGATAGTATTACAGAAAAAGAAGAAACTAAAACCTTGTTTGTTATATTATCAAGTCGTCCTATTCAATACTTGTTACCATAAATATTTAGCCACTGAAGGTGAAATTCATTACAGCACGACTTCAGACACCTTGTCAAACAGAAGACTATTTATTGTACTCTGCACTAATAACTAGAGCCACCGTGTGTGAAACCAACATATACAATTTAAATTGAGCAACCATACAATGCAGATTATTACCTGAAAAATCGGACAGACAAAATGTGCAGGGATTCTGCGCTGATCCTTGGAGTCCAAGGATGATGAACTAGAAGTTGGGGATGACATAGTCCACGAGTCTCTCATTGCCTCGAGTACAGCCCAGACTTCTGAAACAAGGTTCAGTCGTTCTGAAGGCTTTCTCTCACAGCACCTTAGTGCTAGATGAGCTAATTGCTTTACTAGGTCAGGTGGCCAGTCCCCAGCTGACACGTCTAACACTTCATTCAAGTATCCACTTTCGATAGAACATTTAACATCCCTCACTAAATCTGAGGCCGGTTTTGCAGTTAATAGTTGTAATAGTACAATTCCGAATGAGTAGACATCAGATGCAGCTGTTAGCTCCCCATCATTGAAGATTTCCGTGGAGATTAAAATTGCTGGATCGTTCTTGCTATATAATGTGTGATTACTAACAAAATTAGAGATACCCAAATCACCTACTTTGCTAACAAAATTAGAGTCGAGAAGGACGTTGGAGGACTTCAAATTTCTGTGTATGATACAACTGCTGTTGGCATGCAAGAAGATAAGGGCCGAGCATATCTCTGTAGCAATTTTTATTCGATATTGCCATGGAAGAGGACGAGATTTGGTCCTGCAGAGGAGTTGGTCTTCGAGGCTGCCATTCTCAATGTATTCGTATATCAGTGACCTTGATTCTGGGCAGGCACCAATCAGCATTACAAGATTTGGATGCCTCACCCGACTCAAAACTTCAACCTGCATTAACATGACACAGATAATCAGAATCAGGAAATATCATTTACCTTGTCAAGAAAGCAACAAGAATGATGATGATGTTTGGAACTCCAACGAGTAAGAATTATTACACCAACTTATGCAGAGGTCGCAATTCCCCCTATGAGAAGAAGAATAAGTAGCTTACTGTTTGTTGGACTATTAAGATTTTGTACTGTCACAACAGTGAATCTCCTTTCCAAAGGATAGGGGATGGTGGTCACAACATTCACCTAGAAAATAAAGAGATCGACTATTCTGTGAAGGACTTGAGGGAAGAAAGTCGTTGGATATCTATGTTTCCTAGAGCTTCAGAAATCCTTGAAAACAGGATAGACATCTGAAATAACAGACATCACCACACAATAAATGTTAAGAGTGTAGGGATGGAATCAAGGATTCATGGGCAAAGTAAATTCCAATTCAAGAGAGAATAAACCAAGTAATTATTGTCGTCTTTAATACTAACAATAGCAATGTGCATCATTTGATCAGGGCCACAAAATATTCTGCGACCAAACTCAAATCACAAGCACTTCTAAACAAGCAAAATATAGTTTCATGATCATGTACCAAACTTAGTTTCATAGTCAAACTCAAATGACACAGTATGGTTACAGCTTTTGATAAATTAAAAACTAATAAGGGATAACCAGAATGTAAACCAAGTGTTTTTTCATCTTTAATACTAAAAATATAATTTTGGCATCATTGAAATGTTTGTATAACATTCTATGACCAAAATCAAATACAAGCATTATTATCCAAGCACGATGCAGTTTCGTGGACTTGGATCAAACTTAGCTGTCATGGTCAAACTCAAGCCATTGGGACAGCATTATTAACTTCTTGTTAGAGCTTTTACTAAAAATATGTTGACTATGTGAAATGCATTTGGATATGCAAGCATGGCCAAAAGATTTACCTCGTGCATGAATTCGGAATCACTTTGATGACCAGAAAATGGCAACATCTTTATAGCTACCTTCACATGATTAAGCATTCCCTTATAAACAATCCCATATCTTCCTTCTCCAATTTTCTGAGATGGATCAAAATTTTGAGTGGCCTCAATAATGTCCGCGAAAGAGAATCCAAAAAATTGTGTGCTGCATATACCCATAGGATCCTCTTTTGTAAATGTCCTAAATTTATTAGCTTCTCTGGTAGCAGAGTCATACTCCATCTGCAGCTTATCCCGTTTTTCCTTATAAGTTATTAAGAGATTCACTGCTTGAATGATCTTTTCCTCTAACTCTTTCTCTATGCAACAGGCCTCTCTTAATTGGCTTTCTAGTGCAGGCTTCTGGTGCTGGATAAGCTGAAGTTCTTTTACAAATTGATCGAGCTGATTTTTCATTGCCTCTATGTCTAGCCTTTGTCCAACCAAAATTTCCTCCATCTCATTTTTTCTGTTGATCTCTTCCATGCACAAACTTTCTAATTCTTCCGCCTACAAAACGGTATGATGAATTACAATCAAGTGATAAGAGAATCATCTAGTGCAAGAGAATTCAACATGCATCAATGTCAGCAAGAAAACAAATTACCAAAAGAACAAACACTCACAAGGAAAAGTAGAGACAACAAAATATTTTTGAAGAAAAATTACCTTACGTGTAGCCTCTATGGCATCTTCTTCAGCTCTCCACCGTTTCACTGATTCTTCGAATGCTCTCTGTTTAAAGTTTTCAGCATCTACCACAGCATGCTCAAGGTTATTGTGAAGGTCATGGGTTTCTTCCTCTTGGAGTTTGTAATCCTGGAACCATTTTTTTATTGATTAAGAAACTGATTAATCAATTCAAAAAATAGCACCCAAATAATCAATTAATAGCCACTCCATAATTAATAAACTTAATCAACCAAATTGCATGTCATATGACAATATTTCTACCATTAATGAGGAAAAGAAATCTTCCTAGCCAATTTTGGTTTGGAAATTGTGTTAGGCAGGATTAATAAGCTGAGGAGACAAGGGTAATTTGTATAATACCTGCCTTATCTTATGTTTAAGTGGAATAAGTACGCAGTTAGCTTTGGGCATAAGGTCCATATCCTAATAGAATTTTATGCCTCTAATTTACCAGATGAGAAGCTTACGAAGAACAAAATATCCCTAATGTTATATCCCATATTTACTCCCATCACGTGTTTTGAGTTCGGGATCCCAATACTGTCTAGGAACCAATTAATACGAAACAAAAGGAGTGAAGCAAACAATACAAGTTCAGACTTAATGTGGCACAAACTAGCCGAATTCTCAGTTCATCACGCACAATATATTTTCCACCCTTTTCTTCAAAAGTTCATTATGTGATAGCCTCATGGTAAGAAGTTCAGAGACATTCTCAAATGATGCCTCGCACTTAATCCCACAAAATTACCGGTAGACGCAGAAATATAAACAAATGCAGATGAGAACTCTCTTTCTTTGAGTAAAAGCTGTGGATCCCTTACAAGTACAAATAAGAAATATAACTAAGATAACAAAACAATATTCACCACTTTGCCAAAATTAATCAGCATAACAAACAGAAGCAGCAAGCAGGCAATTGACTTCTGTAGTAGATCTCTATGAGATAAATTTGAATGATTATATGAACCCTTTGAATTACAACTTCATTTAAGTTCAATCACTCTCTGCCATGGTTTCATAGTTTCTAGCATGACCTTAATACCTCTATAATTCGTAACATCTTCAATATCTCATTTATTCTTATGGGTAGGGATCATAACTCTCTTCCACTATTTAATGGGCATCTTTCTTATCTCATTGGATAATTTTGTCAACCATGAAATACTCCCTCGCTTAGATAGATAAAAAGAACCTCGAAATTAGATCATTACTGTGCCTGATTTTCTTATGGTAAAAGAAACATACACAAAAAACATTTTCTAAACTTGTATATTTAATGCCTCTTTTTTCAATGGAACATGCATAGAGTGTTCCTAAATAGATCGTATTAACTGTAAGGCAGACACATATATATACATTCTCCCGTAAATGTGAATTAGTTGCCTCCACATTCCATTAGAAGACTATCTTACTCAGCTTTCTTTTTTGCGAAAAAACATAAATTTGTGCCCTTGTTAGACAAAAGATGCCAAATTTCAAGACTCGAGAGAATTCTTCCCGGGTGGTCAAAACGATTCTCCATAAATAAACATCAAGCATACCAGTAAAGGAATAGATGATGAGCATAGGAAATGTTCGGGAGAGCTGGCTTGTGAGAATAAAGGCGAATCATCTCCTCTTATCCAACCTATCATTGGAATGGTTGAATATGAAGTGCCAACCACCTCTTCCATTGACCTAGTTGAATGCTTGAAAGACTGAACACTGCCAGCATCATCTTCTGTGTTCTCTGCGCAATCATGTACTAATATTGTTTCTCCATTATTTATTGGAGAAGGCAATGCCAACGTAGTTGTTGCTAAACAAGAAACGAAATCCACATTCCTAGCCAGGAAAATGGAAAATGGAGTCTGTTAGTAAACCATGATGTGTTCTTTAATCAACAATTATAACCTAAACTGCTATAACCACATCAGCTGAATCTAAGAAACTTTCTATAACACTTTTGGGCTTTACAAAAATGCATTAGTGAAGGCCTTTTTGATTTTCCAACTGAACCTCACTTCATGAAAGAACACAAACTAGTTCAGATTGGATTGCAGTTGTGGATTCATTTCCAGCTCAGTACACGTTTAATGTACCCACCATACCCTCGTTGCAGAAAAAAGTCTAGTCACTTGTTCAAAGACCGTAGATTGGAACATAATAATCGAAATGCTAAGAATATCTATGTGAGTTCAATGGTCAACCACAGGGCATTGTTAAGTGTCGACAAGTTGGGCTTCAATATAACATGACAGTACAGAAATACATCCTGGGAAAAAAATGAAGTAAAAATTCGGACTTATCTTCTCTCCAATATCTTCTACCTAAAAGAGTCCTTTGCCTTTCAATCCATGCAAAGGCTTCTTAATTCTTATATGTATCCGAAAAATAGATTGTACCCAAGATATCATGTTAACACACCTTGCATATACAAGGCACCCCTTGCAAATAAACCAAATATTGCAGGATACAGGAGCTTGTTTGCACACAAGAATAGCTTTATTGGACTTGATCTCTGACAATTTGCTGCATTCTAGATGAGTTCATATCAGTAAATAAAGTCATCAATTAACTGGAATAAGCACAAAGAAGAACTTCAGATAGATAAATCAGCCTCATACAAATAGCTTTATGTAATTGTCAAGCTGGTCCACCAAGTAATCTTCAAGACATGGGATGTATTGGTTAACTCAGGTGTGAGAAAAGATGCAGCACAAGTATAAAAGCTATTAACAAAATCTTCAATTTTTTTAACTCAAACTGACCAACATCGAAATTCCGTTCTGATTTATTTTGTAGTAACTATCATTTATTTTGTCACATAAAGCAACTCTCCATTCTCAAAGAATGACAATAAGGGGAGTAGGGAATGAAAGCATATAGCTCCAGTATCAATTTGCAGATATTAATCAATTCTTTATTATTCAAATTGCTTTAGCCAGTTTCATAGAGTTCTTCTACCATGTTATCCTATCATTTGACAATTTGTCCGTCTGAAAACATGTATGGAAATAGGAGTGATTAAAACACATCATATCATTCAGAGTTTCCAACTTGATACCAACAGGATAGCTATGTCCAAAATCTGGATATAACATAGTCATCTATCAATGCATCACAGTGACAGAAAATAACCGTTGTTTGGTACTCTGAGTTTCTGCCCCAGCTCCCATGATGAGCCATTTTATTCCATGTTGAACAATAAGTTGCACTATCCCCTTCCCAATATTACTCATTTCAATCCACGAGTTATCAGTGTGCACCTGCAGAAGTATATGGTAATCAATCTTTTAAAACAACTGTGGCAAAATACTTTAGAACAATTTTGAAAAATCATTTTTAGGGTTCATGACTTTTTATAATATTTGAGTCATGGAAAAAGTTTGACCATTTAAAGTAATTCACAAAATAATAGCTATCAATATCTCATTCATTTATATATATCTTAGTGCAATTCAACTGTCACTGAGTGCAAGAGGATGCAGAAAGAAAATAGTACCCCCATCTGGGAAAGAAAGAGAAGGTACTCATTCAGGAGTTTGTGCATCTTTTGCAGTTCAAGTTCCTGGAATGCCTTAATAGCATATCGTTTAAATTTGCTCGATGAAAGCTTACAGTCCACTGGAAACATATGAGGAAGTAAAAGGTTAAGTCAACTCAAAACTGAAACAAACACTTCTGATCCCTGTGTAATAAAGCAAAATGGAATAAAATAGGTACATACCAAAAGAAGAAAAAAGAGACAGACAATGAAATGCAGGATAAAATTTGTTTCAATGCAACCAGAGGGAAAGACAAACGAGCAAGCTCTCTAAAATATACTTTCCGTGAAAAGCTATCTAATTTCTTTATAGAATGTTAATCACAATAGAACATCAATGATCACTAATGTGAAACCATTCCAAATCTACTCCAGGTTAGCACTTCAAGAGATCACATGGGAAAGGGAAATATAATTACTTAGTAAGCTTCATTATGAAAAAGATGTTGGTCCACTTCGACCTGTTACATCACACAGCATAACAAAATAACCAAAAGGGAAGGGATGTCAAAGAGTTATACTCCGAGCACCATTCCATCCTTGGGTAGCATATTGCCATCATGGTGGTCTCCTGGAATGCATGAGTCAGGTAGCACAAGGGTTTCAGCAAGCTCACCAATATCACAAAAATCAACATTATCTAACCGTCATATCATCGTGAATGATGGCCCAAATTATATATGTATAAGGCACAACATCTACATCTAGAGTAGATCTTGCATCTAGATGCTGAAGTGAAACCTAATATCTCAATAAATTTAAACAGATTCAAAGTACGTCATAAATCAATGAAAGAAATGGAGTACAATGTTTAACCAGCCATTCATATATGTGACGAAAGAAATCAACCTTTCACAATTATTTCTAGTTAGTTTATCCCGCAAAAAAATACCCAATACACATTAAACAAGAATGCCTAGAAACAATTAGAGAGGAAAAGAACCATCTAAAAGCAAGACGCCATTACAACCACTTTGGGTGGAACTCGCCCTTAAAACCGCTTCATAAAAGGAGAATAACTAGGTGGTTATAACCTTGTAATTCAAGCTTTAGCTTGACAATGGGGGACGCAATTAAGGTTTTTACAGTCCATCTATCTATTCAAAATGGACGTCTACCATGGCCCATATTCCAAGTTAGATGACTTCAAGAAGTCGCGCTCTTGGTTTGCTGTATCTGCAACAAGGGTCGTCAAGAAGGGTGCACATCAATCTTTATAACTAGTATAACTCACTCTTACAATTATCTCGCAAAGAGGAGGGTTCCTAAGCATTTGTAAGCCCACGCAAGGTCAATTTGAGAACATAGAATTCATTAACATTTGTCATTTGAGCTTAGGTCTGTGCTTTCTTTTTGTATTACAAGGATGAGCCGAACCTAACATTTTTTGTAAAGCACCATCACAGCCCAGTGTGTTCTTTAGGCTCCACCAAGACACAGATAGAGGAGGTTAGGATTCCCATAAATGAAAATAAATTAATACAACGTAGACGGCCTTAACACTGTGACATGGGAGGCAAGTGAAGGCATTACACAGATATCCACGATCCTAACACCTACATATGTGGAGACGGCCTTAACTCTGTGACATGGGAGGCAATTGAAATCATTGCAGATACCCACGAAGACTCAGGAAGCCAGCCCTCATACCCGTTGTCAATTTTAGGGGAAACAAGAAACAGAAACTAATGATAAATTCATTTCCAACAACAGTAATGAATTAAGAAAAACATCCAGAGCTCAAACCAACTGGTATACACATACATATCTGTCTTGAACTAAATCACTAATGGACTTACAGAGTGAAACTAGATTCGTGGGCTGATGAACATGCAGAAGACACACACTCCTGCCCTTAAACCTCTTCACTGCCCACGACAACAATGATTTTCCCTCTTTAACATTCTTGCCCACAGCCACGTATACTCTGCTCTCAACATCACAAACCCCTTCCATATAAATTTTATCGATTTCTCCTTCACTCCCAATTACAACTCCACCATCAAAAGCTCAATTATCCCAGCGTAAATTCCCTTTTGTGGGTATTTTTATTTATGTGTGCGATATTCAGAAGAATCATTTGGTGGGGGAGGTTGAACAAAGTCGTGGTCAGTGGGAAATTTAGCGGTGGTGCCTAACTTTCTTCTTCTTTGACAAAGAGAAGAGATTACTTTTCTGTTTACTTTTCTGTTGTGGTGCGGTGAGTGATCAACCAAGTTGAGAAAGAATGTCAGGACAAAAACGAGAATCGGGAAAGTTTCAAATGGAAAACAGGAAAAGTATTTGCTTTTACACTACATTTCTTGATGCTAGTAGATCTGTAGATGCAGTGGAAATAAAAAAAATGGCCGGCCATATTTTCACAATCACATTTGACCATTAAAAAAAAAAAGATTAAGGCCGTGTTTGTTTCTGATTCTCAAATCAATTCTCATTTTCAACCTCACATTCTTCAATAAAATAATATTTTACATCACATCAATACTCTTTTCTTCTTTTTCAACCACACATTTCCCATCATATCACTATTCAAAATCAATTCTTCCCCCAAAAATCCCTACCAAACAGGCTCTAAGTTAAATACCAAAATCCCAAAATATCCTCTTTTTCAAGGGTGTTTTGAGTGTATGGATAGTGAAAAAACTTGTTCAACTCGAAATTCGTGAAACCTCGTCCCGAACAGGACGGAGATTACCCACCTAATCAGGTAAATGGGGTGGGGATGGTGCGGATCATTGCCCCCGAAACGGGCACGGGGTGGGGATGGTGCGAGGATCATAGTCACCACCTTGCTACCCTTCCCATTTAAAGTTAATTTTAAATTTAAATTTTTTATCAAACAAAAATAATATATTTATCATATTTTTAAACAGAACATAAATTGTTTTTAACAAATTGGTAAAATAATAATAATATTTATTACGTGAAGTAATAACAAAATAAA